TGCGCGATCCGTGTGCGTTCGCTGTTACAAAAGTCACATGCTACGTTAACATTTTGTTTTTCAAATTGTTGTGAAAAGGCCAGGAGGAGGGGCCGGGGCCGCTGGTGCTCCGTGCGCGGGGCCGGCCCCACCCGGGGAGGCGGTAACGGGACCCGGGGCAGCCCCGGGGGGCTCCGGCTGCCCCGGGTCCCGTTACCGCCTCCCCGGGTGGGGCCGGCCCCGCCCCCGTAGGCCCCGCCCCCGAAGAACCCGCCCCCACAGACCCCGCCCCCTCCCCTACCGGCCAATGGGGACGCGCGGCGCGGGGCGGGGCGGGGCCGGTGCGGGGCCGGTGCGCGCGGGCGGCGGCGGCGGGACGGGCCCGGTTCTGAGGTGAGCGAGGAGAGGGGACCGGATCGGACCGGATCGGATCGGACCGGATCGGACCGGACCGGACCGACCCGACCACACAGCCGGGGCCGGGGGGAGCTGAGGGGAGAGGCGGGGGCTGTAGCGGCGCTGCCGGCGAGCGGCGCCCCAAGGCCGGTGTCTCGGCCCGCCCCGCCTGCGCGTCCGCCGCTGCCGCGCCGCTTGCGTGGGAGCCCGGCGGGGAGGGGGGACCGCGGTGTGCGGCCCGCGCTCCGCCAGCCCCCGGGGACGGCGGGTTCCGGCTGCCGGGGCGTCGGGAGCGCGTTCCCTCTGGCCTAGGCCGGGCGCGGTCGGGGTGGGAGCGTGTGAGCGCCCGCGCCCCCGGCACACCCCTTCCCCTGCACCCGTGTCCCTGCGAGGGACCCCCTGGGCTCATCCCGCTGCTCGTCCCGCTTTCCCGACCGCTCTCACGGCCGCTGCTCGGTCAGAGAATCGTTCCTGAAGCACCGCTCCCCTGGCGGGGACCGGCGCGTCCAGGTCCTTCCAGGCCGGCGTGTGGCTGCCGGGGAGAGCCGTGAGACCCTTCGCGGCCGTGTGGAGGGGAGTGTGGGGTCCGGGCGGCACCGAGACGTGTCTCTGCTGTCACAGCGGGCCACTCGGAGTCTTTGTGCCTCTTCGTTGCGGTGGGAGGGTTCCTGGTGCATCAGTTAGTGCCGGCTCGGTGTAGTGATGCTCGAGGGGGTGGCCTGTTGCTTAGTGAGAAAGTTAAAAGAGGAAGGTTTGCTTCTGGTGGCTGAAGGGACCTGATCTGGTGGGAGTACTTCCTTGCTGCTCCGTGCGTGCTCCTGCCATGCACAGGCAGTGGGGATCCCTTTGTACGGGAGGCAGGGATCACCCTGCTCACACTGGGCAGCAGGGAAAGTGGCCTTACTTCAGACCTGCCTTCTGCACGGGCGAGGGATGGACCATCATAGTGACCCTGTCACTGACCAAATCCACTGTGCTCAGAGGATTTCCTTTGAAAACTCTTGGTATCATCCCTGGAAGTGTTCAAGGCCATGTTGGATGGGGTTGGAGCAACCTGATTTAGTGGGTGTCCCTGCTCATGGCAGGGGGTTGGAACAAGGTGGGCTTTAAGGTCCCTTCTAACCCCAACCACTCTGTGTTTCTGTGATCTTGCATGTCCTCAGGTGTAAGCTGCCTTTCCAGATTTGCTGCTAGATGAAAACACTGTCTTGCTTCTGAAAAATAAGTTTGTTCCATCCAAGCAGAAGATGAAACTCATTGTGACTTAAAAGCTATTCAAAAAAGACGACAAAAAAAAAGTACAAAAATTTAAAAAAATTATATACAGCTACCTAAATTTCCTAAGTTTTGTTTTATATGCTCCTTCACTTAGGACTGAAAGCTATAGGGAGCTGATGTAGGTTTGATGCCTGGTCCTAATTGATAGGAAATTATCAGGACAAGGACTAGGTGCAAACAAGTTCAGGGAGGGGCAATGAAGGAAGATTTTTATCTTAGAACCACTAATATTGTGGTAACGTTGCATTTTAGTTTCTCATTGGTGAGGCTGTGCTGTGGCTCGCCTGGGGCAGGAGGCTCTCAGTGCTGTGGGACAGTCTGCTCTGCCTGTAGAACCTCTTGATCTTCCTGGTGCTTGCAGCATGTCTCAGGCTTCACTGGTCCATTTTCCTCCTCCTTTCATGTAGTCAGCCCCTTGAACTGAAGTGTTTCTCAAACCATGGCACAACAGTTCCTGTCAGGAAGTGTCCTATGTTGTCAGAGTACATAAAACATGATAGGTAACTCTAATTGGTGGTGAAACTGGAAATAGTGCTTGGCTTGGTTAACATTCCTCACACGTTGGGGTTTGGAGGCAGTGGGAGCAGACGAGGCTATTTGGGGATTGTTAATAGTTATGCTGGCATTAGTAGGGTGCTCTGGCAGGGAATGGGATGTGGCATGGAGACATGCTCCCAGCTGCCACAGCAGGCAGGGCACGGCTCTTCTGGGGATCAGGCTTGCTTCTGCACATTGCGTTTTCTGCCTAGTGCTTGTTAGGCCTTTAAAATCTGAATATGTACTGGCCAGGGTAAATATTTTTAGGAACGTGTCATCAGCAAGACACAAGGCCAAGCCCTTTTGAGTTCACTTTTTCTGTTACCACCTGTGGGGAAGGACTTTGACATCTGCAGTTTCTGTTTGAAATGACTTTGGTCTCTCCTGGCGGGTGACCAAAGCCAGTGAGAATACCCAGGAGCTCCTCATTAGTCCGGATTTGGGTGGCCTGCCTGCCTGCCTTGCCTTCAGGAAGCGGCTGGCTCCAGCTGGAGGGGAGGCTGCTCAGGCCTCTGCCACGGGGCTGCTCCGTGTTCTGCCTCGGCTGTCGCTGCGTGCATTTTTTTCCTTTTGGGTAACTGCAGTGTCTGTCCCTTCCAGGAGCTGTTTATTCAGAAGGGGATGAATGTGCTCACAAAGCACTAACTTTAAGAGCAGGTGGCTAGTAAACAGCCCTGTGAGGAGTGTGACCGATCCTGGGCAGCTCCAGTTGCCCAGCAAAAATCTTACAGTGTGGTTACATGATAAGGGACACAGTGTCAAGGGGCTACAGATGACACTGAGGTCTGGTTTCTCTTCAGATCAGCACTTGGAGATGTAACCTGGGCACCTCTCTCTGCTGACTTTTGCTGTTAGGGTGATTTTAAAATTTCTGACCTAAAAGTTTTTCTCCTTGGCTGTGTGGCCACACAAACCAAGGAGTCCAGCAAAAGAATATGCACAAAACACTTTGAGAAAGAAACTTTCTGCTTATTTGTCACCCAAAGCTGGTAAGTTGGACACTGGGCAGTGTGTGCCCACTTTTATGTTGAGATCATCCTTCATACTGGATTCAATTTCGGATCCCTGAAGCACGTTCAGAGAAGGGCAGCAGAGCTGGGGAAGGGTCTGGAGCCCAGCTCTGATGAGGAGCAGCTGAGGGAGCTGCAGGGCCTCAGCCTGGAGAAAAGGAGACTCAGGGGACCTTCTCACTCTACAACTCTCTGACTGGAGAGTGGAGCCAGGTGGGGGTCAGGCTCTGCTCCCAGGCAGCAAGGGACAGGACAAGGGGAAAGATTGTGCCAGGGGAGGTTTAGATTGCACATTAGGGAAAATTTCTTCATCAAAAGGGTGGTGAGGTACTGGCATGGGCTGCCCAGGGCAGCTGTGGAGACCCCATCTCTGGAAGTGTCCAAAAGACATGTGGATGGGGCATCTGGGGACGTGGTTTAGTGATGGTGTTGGCAGTGCTGGGTTAATGGTTGGACTTGATGGTTTTTTCCAGCCCTTCTGTGATTCTCACACGTGTACGGTCAGCCAGGAGGTTGGAGACTCTCTGTGGTGGTCTCAGCTGTGCTGCTCAGGCAGCACTTGCAGAGGCCAAACAGGCCTTGTGGTGGGTGTGATTAGGTGGGAGGTGTCTGTCTACCCTCCTGGGAGAAGTTTATCTGTACAGGGTCTGCAAATATAAAAATAAAATCCCTCATAATGTTACAAATGCACTGGTCTGTGTAAGATGGGAAGACATTTGACCAGACTCTCTGAGTGTAAGGATTGAAACCTAAATCGCTCCCCACTAGTTTGTAAGGACATGTAAGGCTGGTTCCATTCAAATCCCTGGAGCAGGCTGCCTACCTACTTGCAGCACAGAGGGACAAAGGGCTGTTTTCATGAGCTGCCTCTCTCCTTTTCAGACACAGCAATAACCTAACACTCCCTTGGATTTTCTGTGGTGGGCTCGCCAAGTGAAGGCTACCCCAGCTGCAGTACCCACATAATTTGGATTGTTCAGACACAGTGTGGTATTTGGGTAATGCACCCAAAACCACCAAGAAGCCTCAGCCTTCCTGCTGAGCGCCTTGCACCTTGCTGCCAAATACTCTGTGCCAGTGGTGAGCGTGGGGCAGGGGCTGTGGTGCATCCTGAGCCCACATGCCTCACCTTCCATGTAGACCCTGCTGTGATCCCTGGGCAAATACCACCACTGCTCCAGTGGCGTGGGAGAGCTGGGGAGAGCCGTGTGGGACTTGTTCCCCATGTCAAATTAAACATTTGCTCTGCACGACTGCCACCAAACCATGACAGCAAGACTCCTGCTGTAGGAGTTGGCCTAGTGGTTGGTCTAATGTTGGTCTATGTAATTGAGATTTTTGCCCACTGATTTAATCTGGGCAGGTTTGCTAATGAGATGAGGAACTGTTATCTGCAGCCAGTGCCTGATGAAGGCTCTGAGCTGCCAGCAGTTAAGGTTTTGTATGAGTCATCATTTAGGGGATGAAGAAAGTTAATTGTTCCTGTTACCTTGGGGTGTGGTCAGTGGGATGGTTGGGTACAGGTGAGAGGCACAGTTCTGCCTTACCCTTCGCTGCCTGTCTGCAGTGCTCTTGCTGCTGATGGTAGGGAGCCCAATCGGCAGGAAAACTCATCAGAAACTAAAATAGTGTGTCAGAAGGGTGGAGGGCAGAGGTTTGAGTATCCTATTTCCTAACCATGTTTCTGAATGGTTATTTCTTCTTGCTACTTTTTCTTCCCAGTGTCTGGATTTTAATCGTAATAGAATGGTTTGGGTTGGAAGGGACCCTAAAGCTCATCTCATTCCACTCCCTGCTATGGGCAGGGACACCTTCCCCTAGACCAGGTTGCTCCAAGCCCTGTCCAACCTGACCTTGAATACTTCTGGTTTTGACCAGAGTTTTGGTGTCCCACTAGCAAAACCAATCACAAGGTTAAAGAGCCTTAAATAAGGATTTTGTGATAGTGCTTCAGTGGGTAGTATTTTCACACGGAAGAGATCTTTCAAGCTGTAACTGTCTGTTTTCTTCCATGTTTCTTTAGACTCTGCTCACTGTTGGAAGATGGGAGAGATAGAAGGAACATACAGAGTTCTGCAGACGCCGGGCTCTCGTTTGGGTGCCCAGAAGACCGCAGGAGTGAGCACCCTGGAGTCAGGACAGAACCTCTCCGCTGCCATGGCATCGTCGCCTGCCAGAGCGCACGAGCGCGACCTCCCCGTCAGAATCAGGATGTTGGACAACACGGTGGAAGTACTTGACATCGAGGTAGGAGAGATTTGAACCTGATTTCGAGTACACTGAGCCTCTGATGATGTAAAGCTCACAAGGATGTGCCTCTGTGCAGAGCTGGGACGCTTTGAGGCAATACCTGAATAAAGATTCCTGTCGGGATTTTACCTGCTTACAAGTAGTGAAATTAGTTGCACAGCTTGTTTTTTTAAGGTCTTTTAAGTGTAACATGTGTTTTGTGTTTTTAACTTCAAATATAAGCACACACCGTAAGGAGAGTCTTTCACTGTTGTTTGCTTTGGGGGAACACCAACTGTCTCCTGCCAAGCTGTCCTTGCTTCCTGAGCCACATGCAGCTTTCTCAGTTTGGCAGCTGGGAGAGCAGAAGAGCTTTGCCTTAGTTACTGATTTATATTAACTATTTTAATGGTATGTATCCTCTTCCAGTAAACTTGCTCCTATTTGAAAGCCTTTTCTTGCTGCCACGGTTTAGAAGGGAGACACCAAAGCAGTGTCAGTGTTTCTGGAAATTTTTTTTTAAAAGTGTGCTTGGGGAAATCTACCATAAGACATACAAACCATGCTCAATTTGGGAGGATTCTGCTTTTAAAGAAATTTTTGTTCTTCCAATTCTTGTTACATTTTCAGTGTTGACCTCAGTTTAATTCTAGCTGGCCTGAGATCTGTTGTCAGAAGATAACTGTTCTAGTGAAGATACTCAGCTATCAGGTATCCTGTGTTCGTATCAAATCTGTGATCAGTAATTTATAATTAGCACTTGTAGAGTTAGTTTGTTGCATGGACTCAAAAGAGTTTTTTCCAAATGTGAAAAATATGTCTGTGGAGTTCTGAAGAAATAGTGGCTTTTGGGAATGTCTTCTACAGATTCTGTCCAGCTGTTCAACTCTCAAACAAGGAATCTGCTTTTTTTTGGTTTGTTTGTGAGGCTGTGCCTGTATCCTCCCACCTGAGCATGCAGAGGGTATTGCAAACCCACCTCATGTACTGCACAGAAGACAAAAGCCCCCTTCTTTTGTCTTTAAATTATATCAGAATATATTTTAGGAAATCTACTGACTTTGATTCTTTTGAAGGATGATTTTATTTATTTTTCCAGGTTGGTGTAGACGTTGGTGTTTTGATTTTTAAAAAAATCAAAAAAACAAAACCCCAAGCAACACCCCCAGCCCTGTAATTTTGAAAATCAGTGCAAGGCCAGGCTGGATGAGGCTTTGAGCAACCTGTGTTATTGAGAGCGGTGAGGAGAAGGGGTCAGCCTTGGGTCAGCCCCAGACTGTCGAGCACAAAAAACTCCAGAGTCAGCAGCTGTGGCATTAGAGTCCTGCTAATACACTGCCTCCATGGCCTTTCATTTTTGTCTAAATGAGGTAGCAATGACAGCAAACAGGCATGAAGTAGTAAACTGTGACCCTCTGCCTCCTAATTCCTTTGGTGAGCTGATGGGATAGCAGGAACTGTTGACTACTGTTTGTAATGGAAAATGCGAATTTTTCACTTGGGGATTGTGGGCAAGAGTTAGGAAATGGCAGCCACGTGGCTGAATAGGTGGTGTGAGCTAGCACAGTTTGTTTTTTTAAAAATAATAAGAGAAATTGGTGATTAAGCAGCTGTCCTAGAGGGGTGGAGGTTCTGATTGCTGTGCCACTTGCCCTCTCCTCTTTGCTTTTGCAGTTTTTTCCATTGAGTGTAAAAACAGGAGGTGATGTTGTGGGGTTTGTGTTTGATTCAGGTCAGCAATAGTTAGTCAGTGCAATGGGACACAGGCCTTTCCCGTGGGCTGTTGGCACTGCCTGCTCAGGGAGATGGAGCTGGTGGCAAAAGGCAGTTTTGTGGTGGTTTTTTTTTTTCCCCCCCCGTTCCAGTAATTTTCTCTTCTATAAGAACAAATGGCAAATGACTTTTTACTGGGAAAAGTGATGTGGCAGTGGAAGAGACTGACTGGGCACGGGGGCAGCTCCTGGAGGGGCCCTTCCCTGTGCAGCATGGTGGGGAAGCTGGTGCAGGAGCCTTGTTTATTGCCTTGCTGCCTAAAATGAGCCCCAGCAGCATTTTTAACCATATGGGATACACAGAGTAGCCACAGTAACAGCTTAATCCATGCAGCTTTTCCTTGTCTTCCCCTCCTTTCTCCATGATGTGTTTAAAACACTTGCTTCTCTCCTGACAGGAGTTGGTGGGTGCTCTCATTGGTGTACCTAGAACAGTGTGTTAAAAGTTCAGTATAGCTACATTCCACCACCTTTTGTCTAAAATCCACTGTCTCTCTCCATTCTCTCCATCTGTATTGTATGGTTTGCTTTCTAGCTGGGAATTTTATTAATCAGTAAGAGGGAATTATTCTTTAAAGTATGCTGGAGCAGAGCTCTTCTTCAAGGAATCTGATTTGAATGTTAGGGGGTGGAGAAATGCTCAGTGTTTTCTGGAGTTTAAAAAACTGAAAATGGACTATTTATGGTTTCTGTTTTCCCTCCCAAAACAGAAAAGAAAATGAAATATATCCATCCAAAGCCAGGATGCAATATTCATTATTTTCATGGGTTGGGTTTTTTTCCCCTTTTACAGCCAGCTTGTTTAGTCAGCTCAAATTTTGCATTTGCCATGTCACAGGGTGCCTGGCCTCTTCCCTCCAAAGTCTGTCTGAAGGGTGGTTGTGCAGACTATGAGATGAATGATCAGAAAATTTCAATTTAGTTCCGACTGTGGGCACACTTCAAAGTAATCATGGTTTTGCAGTGGAAGTTCTACCAGCTTTCCAGATTTTCTGAAGAGATTAAACTTGGAGGCCTTTGATCAGTGCAAAAATATGGCAGGCTCTTAAGTAGAAGGGCCTGGGTTGGGTTGAATTCACCAAAATGTCATTTAATGAAATTGCTGCCATAATGTGATGTTTAATAGTTGGTCTGTATGTTGTTCCTTATGTAGGAAATACGTGTTATATAGGAAATTCTCTTATATGAATTATGCTCTATGCTATGAGGAAGTGCCCTGGAAAAAGAAGTTTAGATTTTTATGCTTCTAGTTTAGCGAATGGTTTGGGGAGAACGTGGCACCTCTTCAATGGCATGTGCTTCCTCTTCTCCTTCTGCTTGAACATCAAATATAATTTGGGGCTGAAAAATACTTTTTCATTATATTACAGTAGATTGTTTTTCTCTGTTTCACCTGTTGGAGAATGAATTCTGTAGAACTGTAATAGCTGTCATAAAATCATAGCATGGTTCTTAGCTCTCAGCAGATCCAGGCAGGTCTGCCTGCCTGCTCTACTCAATGGGAAAATTTAAACTGGGATTTTTTTTCTTTCATGCTATTCCTTTTGGGTTGTTTTGAGCCCAGAAGTCCAGGTGTTTTTTTTTTCTTTTTTGTTTTTTTTTCAATATAATGAAGTAATGATGTGCTACATCCCCGCAGTGCTGTGTGATGTGTCCCTCTCCCTGTGACACCAGTGGATTCCTGACAGGGAGATGTTCCACTCCACTGCTGTTCTTGAGAACAGGCTAGTTAGATAAGAGTACACTTTAATTCCCCTCTTTATTGTCTCATTAAGTATTGTCCTCTCACTGATCATGTCTACTTTGGTGTTTACTGATTGTACCTTACGAAACTATTACATTACTACAAAACTGAAGTGGCTTATTCCATGCTGAGCTGAAAACAAGGACTCAGTGATTACTCTGATAGAGATATTCTCTTTGCTGGCCACTTATATGACTCTCCCTTGGCTTATTTAAATTTATAAATTGCATTATTATAAGTGCAAGGCTACTTTCCATCCTTAAGTTTGGAGTGGAACAGAATAACTGTGGTTATTCTGGTTTCTGTGCAGTTTGCAGTTATCTGTGACTGAAAAGGTGCCATGAAAGTGGCTCCCCCTTGGATGTCTATTGCTCCTGACCAGCCCTGAAATCAGAAGCTGGGCTGGGACTGCAGGAGGGTTTTGGGATGGCAGAGGAGGTAACCTGACTGCAGTGTGCTTCCCATGGTTTGGAGAGTGTGTTTCCCACCTGTGCAGGCTGCAAAGCGCCGCTCTCGGTGACCGCTCACGGCGGCCTTCGTGCCCCCAGGAACGAAAACGATGCACCTTAAAAAGCTGCTGTCGAGCAGTTTTAAGTAAGAAACGTGTATGTTACAAACTGAGGTGGCACTGTGGGCACTGAGGAGCACTGCCTGTGTGCCGTGGTGAGCCCCAGCGCGTTGCCAGCGGGCTGGGCAGCCGCCGGTGGCTCTGGGGTGGCTCTGGGGTGTAGCTGCCCTCTGGCACCCGCTGCCCTCTGGCACTCGCTGCCCTCTGGCACTCACTGCCCTCTGGCACTCACTGCCCTCTGGCACTCGCTGCCCTCCCACCTCTGCCTCGCTCTCCCTGCGCCTGCTGAGACCTTCCTTCCACGAAGCTTTTCCCCTCTGTGCTGCGAAAGTATTAACAGCTTAAATATGTGGGGAGCGGAGGGCCAGGCTGCTGTTGAATCCTATTAAGTGCTGTGCTGGAGGAACTGAGGTGCTGTTGGTCAGCTCAGTGTTTTTCTTCCCTGGCCAGGAAGAAATAGTCAAAATTCCAGAAAGAATCATAGCCAGATGTTTGTCATTGCTTTGGTTTGACGCTCCTAAATATGGCAAATAAGCTGCCTTAGGACTTATTTTTGTCTGACCTCAGAAGAGAAAGTTAGTAATTCACTATTTTAAATTTGAAGTTATTACAGGGTTTAAAAAGAAGGTAACTGCTGCTTTGCAATTTGTGTACTTTTTGATTTGACTGTATATTTTTTAGACCTGTTATTTTGGGGGAGGGGGACTTGACTTTTTTGATGCTATGTAGGAATGTGGTATTGGGTGGGGAAAGGTGAAACCGCAGCCATTTTGTTGACAGACATTTGGGGGGTGTGTTTTGTTAATTTGTGGTTGGGTTTTTTTTTTTCTTTTAGGGAAGATGTGAACTTAAATTGTGTAATAAACCCATTTTATTATTTTACAGTTCTCTTGACACTAAGTGTCCCATTATGTGTAAAGAAAATTGAATTATG